CTCGCAGGACAGACAGGAAACCATTGAATTTCCCCGATTCTGCTGCGTCGAGCTCGCCTGTTTGCGACTAAAATCGAAGCGCCCGAGGAGGAACCAGATTGAACTGGGTTTTTGCGGTGGCCATCGGAGAACAGTGTTTTGTTCTTACCGCAATTACATTCACTGCAGGGCCTCCACAGACTAGACATTCAATTGTCGACAATTGTTATCAACAACTAAATGTTAAAGCACTGCACACATTGGCTGCACACATTGGAGGATTAGTTGTCGATAACTAAGTCAGGCTTGCAAGGGCTTGAGAAATCCTCAACAACTATTACTTGACGACAACTAATGCAGTTTCCCCAAAAGGGAAACTGCGTAATTGCCGCCATCTAGTCCCACACATTAGGTTTTTCAGTTGCCAATAACAAATAGTTGTCGACAACTAAATGTCTAGTCTGTGGAGGGTGACTTTACCCTTAGCCGAGTTAGCGAAAGTCTCCTATCGAAGTGTTCTCTATGAAGACAAACACATGCCTGCGACTAAAGCAGGTTCAAAATCAATCAATGAATCAATTAACTATTTCGGATTCCATTGGAGAAAAAGTTAGGTCGCTTCTTTATTTGTGATCAAAGTAATTATTTTTTAAAATATTTTGTATTTTTGTTCATCAACTGTGCTGTTTAGGGTGTATTTTTTTGGATTGTTATCTTTTTAATTTGATTCAGTGTGACGTGGTTTGGTCTGTTCAACTGTGGACCTCCTCTCAATCTAAAAATATTTTGAAACAAGGAAGAGTCAGCGCTCAAAGCATAAAAAACAAAACAAACGGAAACAAATCCTTCTTAAAATAGAGATGTGCACTGCTACTTCATTATCGGGTGCTATTTACTGAGCCGCGCAGGAAAACGAAACACTCAACCTTGGTATTTGCGAGGTTTTAAAAAAAAATAAAAACCGAACGAAAAGCGATAGTAGAAACTCTTGTCAATGTTATGGTGATAAATACTATTATATTATTGCCACTGAGATGCTGTATTACCCTTGGTCTTACCTTAAACACTGCCGAAATACGATCAGCTGTCAAGTCANCCCCCTGCCATTTTGCATAAGGTTGAGTACCCCCAAAGGCACTTAAATAAAACAGGAAACGACTAACCGAAACTCAAAATTTGTTTTTCGTTTATTTGTTTTAGTTTAGGCAAAAAACAGAAAACGATAAAACGGAAGTCAATTTTTGTTTTTCGTTTATTTGTTTTAGTTTAGGCAAAAAACAGAAAACGATGAAACGGAAGTCAATTTTCGTTTTTCTTTTTAAACTTGCACATAAAACGAAAAACTATAAAACAGAAGTTGATTTTGTTTTTGGCTTTTCATCATAATGCAGCAGTAAAGAGATGATTATTTCTAAAATTTTGGCAATTTTTGTAGATTTGACGTTTTTCTTCTTTACTTTAATCAGGTAAAGTGGTTTTGATTTCAAATTTAATAAAACGATATGTGTTTCAGGTAAAGTCAGGTTCTGCATTGGTATAATGTGGAGTGAAAAAACAAAACAAGACTCTACATTGGCTTTGACTGATGTTCAACATATATTATAACATTAAAAATAATGAGTGGACGAACCGTGCACGGACCCTGTAGCTATAATGCTGGACTGAGGCATGGGAAGCGCCCATTTGTGCTCTACCTATGGAAAACGCAGCGTATGGAAAATCCCATATGCCATGACTTTGATTAATAACCGAGTAATCCTAGAAGTAGGAGTAGACTGAAAAATAATCTCGTGTAAATTGTTATGAGTATTTAATTCTACAAGATTTGCAGAACCAGTTTCTGTTCTTTGGTCGACTTTTTAATGACGCGCATACAAAATGAGTCCAAAGGAGACACCCGTTACAAGCAATGCTGTCTTCACTTTCGTCGTTTATCATTTTTGGGCAAACAAAACAAACAAAATCTACGCGGCTCTTCTTCTTCGTTGATTTAAGAACCGACAACTAGCATCTTTTTCAAAGTATTTTTCAACGCGGAGAATGTCCACGGTTTCTTCGATTCCTTAACTCAGTTGAGCAAAATATCAGACTGCCGGTCATTTAATAATTTGAAGACCTTGAGCGACTGTCGGTCATTAAGCCACAGCGGAAGAAAAAACCGCATATACAGCAGAATATTGTCATTCAAGAACACACTTTCTTTGCAAGACTCACAGCAAAGGATAATTTCGTAACCCGCCTTTTAAAAATACACAGTGTTATGCGTAGTTAGTATCTGACCCTCAAATGAATGTTAAAAGACTCGGCTTCTGTTGAAATATTTTAAGCAAGGTTACGAATACGAGGGGATTCGTAATCCGCCATCTTAAAATACACAGCTTCATACCCAATACGCATTCAGTATTTGAACGATATCAACCGCTAGCCCTTAAATTTTGTTTTTGCCGTGGGTTAATTTTGTTTTGCCGTAGGTTGATTTTGTTTTGCCGTGGGTCGATTTTGTTTTGCCGTAGGTTGATTTTGTTTTGCCGTGGGTCGATTTTGTTTTGCCGTAGGTTGATTTTGTTTTGCCGTGGGTTGATTTTTTTTTGCCTCGAGTTATTTCATTTTGCCGTGAGTTATCTTATTTTGCCGCGACTCTTCCCAAAGAATGTCAGTTTCAGTGCCCTTGCCAAAAACGAAAAACGAAAAACGAGTTACTTGACTTGGGGCCTGATTACATGAGCCGGGCTGATTTCTTTTGTTTTCACGCTTTGGCGAACACCAAAACAAAAGAAATCAGCCCGGCTAACCGGGCCAGCCCGGCTCATGTAATCAGGCCCTAAATNATATTTTGAAACAAGGAAGAGTCAGCGCTCAAAACATAAAAAACAAGACAAACGGAAACAAATCTTTCTTAAAATAGAGATGTGCACTGCTACTTCATTATCGGGTGCTATTTACTGAGCCGCGCAGGAAAACGAAACACTCAACCTTGGTATTTGCGAGGTTTTAAAAAAAAATAAAAACCGAACGAAAAGCGATAGTAGAAACTCTTGTCAATGTTATGGTGATAAATACTATTATATTATTGCCACTGAGATGCTGTATTACCCTTGGTCTTACCTTAAACACTGCCGAAATACGATCAGCTGTCAAGTCATCTTCAGTTCACTCGCTGCTGTGCGCGCCAAAGGACGAATGTTCTGTCCTCCATTAATATTTACGCGATCAAAGCACCACCACCAAGACAACATACAAAGCACACTACTCTGGTCTTCTCTATACGTCTATAGCCTTTACTTCTGTCTCGTTATAACACTTTTGATATTAAAAAGCAACTTTGACGGCCGCGACTGACGGTTCGAAACGTTTTTTCCTCACGAGGTCGACGTGTCGCGCTCAAAGCATAGTGCTGTACAAACGCATGGCTTTAGCCAATCAGCAACAGCGACTTAAGAGCTGAATATAAGAGGGCTTATCACTGGTCAAGAGTTCCCGTTAAAATCGCAAATGAGCGTTAACCCCTCCCATATACAGGACTCCCCTACCCTCCCCCGGCCATTTTGCATAAGGTTATGTACCCCCAAAGGCACTTAAATAAAACAGGAAACGACTAACCGAAACTCAAAATTTGTTTTTCGTTTATTTGTTTTAGTTTAGGCAAAAAACAGAAAACGATAAAACGGAAGTCAATTTTCGTTTTTCTGTTTAAACTTGCACATAAAACGAAAAGCGATAAACAGAAGTTGATTTTGTTTTTGGCTTTTTATCATAATGCAGAAGTAAAGAAATGATTATTTCTAAAATTTTGGCAATTTTTGTCGATTTGACGTTTTTTTCTTTACATTAATCAGGTAAAGTGGTTTTGACTTCAAATTTAATAAAACGATATGTGTTTGAGGTAAAATCAGGTTCTGTACTGGTATAATGTGGAGTGAAAAAACAAAACAAGACTCTACATTGGCTTTGACTGTTGGTCAACATATATTATAACATTAAAAATAATGACTGGACGAACCGTGCACGGACCGTACACGCATTCATTACAATCGATTCCGTTTTTATTTCTAGTTATGGCGGAAAGTAACCTCCCAACAACGGGAGAAGAAGTGGACTTGGACAATGAGCGTCAGGCCACAGGTGAGAGAAAGCAACAGAAAAAACTGCCACATGAATATTTTGAAGCGGTTTTAAGGCCGTTTGGTCGAGTGGTTGAGTAAGTCTGGTTCGGCTTTTTTTTGGACAGTTACTCTTAAAGGTTTATAGGAGCTAAATAAATGCGCCGGTATCCTGGGTAACGAAACTCGCTACAGTTACCGGGTAAANCGTAGGTTGATTTTGTTTTGCCGTGGGTTGATTTTTTTTTGCCTCGAGTTATTTCATTTTGCCGTGAGTTATCTTATTTTGCCGCGACTCTTCCCAAAGAATGTCAGTTTCAGTGCCCTTGCCAAAAACGAAAAACGAAAAACGAGTTACTTGACTTGGGGCCTGATTACATGAGCCGGGCTGATTTCTTTTGTTTTCACGCTTTGGCGAACACCAAAACAAAAGAAATCAGCCCGGCTAACCGGGCCAGCCCGGCTCATGTAATCAGGCCCTCGGAATCCGTTTTTCAAATTCCAGACGAAAACGAAAAACTAAAAACGAAAATTGAAGTCGAATTTGGTTTTTTCATAGCACCGCGAAAAACGAAAAACGAAAAACGAAAAACGAAAAACGAAAATGAGATTTGATTTTTGTTGTTGTACGAAATTGAAAAACGGTTGGTACTAAGGTACACGCATTATTGTACACGCATTATTGTACACGCATCATTGTACACGCATTGAAGTCCAGTTTCATTTTTTTACGGCGTAGCGAAAAACGAAAAACGAAAATGAAATTTCATTTCATTTTCCTACGGAATCGAAAAACGGTTGACACTAAGGTACACGCATTGCATTGAAAATGAAACTTGATATTCATTTTCCTACGAAATTAAAAAACGGTTGGCAGTAAGGAACACGCATTCATTACAATCGATTCCGTTTTATTTCTAGTTATGGCGGAGAGTAACCTCCCAGCAACGGGAGAAGAAGTGGACTTGGATAATGAGCGTCAGGCCACAGGTGAGAGAAAGCAACAGAAAAAACTGCCAAATGAATATTTCGAAGCAGTTTTAAGGCCGTTTGGTCGAGTGATTGAGTAAATCTTTAGTCTGGTTCGGCCTTTTCTTGGATAGTTACTCTTGAAGGTTTATAGGAATTAAATAAATGAGCCGGTATCCTGGGTAACGAAACTCGCTACAGTTATCGGGCAAATGTGGAAACGCTGGAATCGCTTATAGTTTTGGTCTCTAACAAGGGTACGTTAATTTTTATCATAATTTCAGCAACACAGGAATGTGAAGCCACTTCAACTGACTGGAAAATAGATGTACAAGATGACCCTTTAAGAGGTGAGAGAACCAGTGCCTAATAAGAGTCATGCTATCAACAATATTATATGTGAACTATCGATCATTCCTTTGAACAAGTGATCACCACCTTGACCGGGCGATTCGCCACTTCCAATTTGAGTATTCTGCAGGACGTTTATCTTTGATCGTCAAAAGTTTCATGATAACTTTAAGAATTGAATCGAAAGTTCTTGAAACTTTTTGGAATCTTACAATCATAGTTTCCTTCGAGGATGTCATGAAAGCGGGGAAGGGCTCGAAGGACGATTCGCGTTTTCCGCCGAAGTATTTCCACCGTACTTCACCCACAGCATC